CCCCGCTATGGAGCCGGGGGGGCAGCGGCGGCTGCAGCAGCAGCGAAGGCTCCGTGAGCCGCGGCAGGAGGCGGAGGAGTACTACCGAGGCCACCGAGTGCCGCAGCGTCTGGAAGAAGCGCTCAACGCCCTCTTCCCCTTGCGACCCGCGGATCTCTACGGGCAGCTGGTAGCGCGGGGAGGGGAAGCCTCCTCGGGGAGCCCCCGCACCTCCAGACCGGGCTGAGCGGGGCCGGAGGGGACTCTTCTTGGCGAGCAGGGGCCTACCTGACGTGGAGTGGGAGTTCGCCGAGGCACCCATGGGTGTCAGCTGTACGGGGCCTTCCCGTAGCCCCCTCCCAGCTGCCTGCATGGGCGCCGGGCGCTGTGCTTGGTGTAAGGGAAGGGAGGTGCTCCCTGCCCTAGACCTGCCTGCTGCCCTAAGGGTTTGATAAACCATTAGGTTGATGCGAGGAGCTCAACGTCTCTGTGATTGAAATTAAGCATAAATAATTTCCCACTGAGCCAGGAAAGGTCTGTGTTGGTTTTGTGTTTGTAGCCAGTGGCACTTTGATGCTGGGCCAAATATATCTCTGCAGCAGTGGGGCTTCTTGGCCTCCGCTGGTTGCTGTCTCCACATAACAAGTATGTTGCCTTGGGAGGATGCAGACAGATGTCCCTAATGTCTCTGGCCAGTGGCAACAAGAGACTGGGTGCTACTTGCACTGCAGCTGTTCCTGAAAAGCACATGGGCCTCAGTAGAAGTGCCAAGAACCAGACCAATTTTATCTATACCCAGTTGGCAAAATATTGTAGACAGTAGTCCTAAGGAAACATCTGTTAGTGGTGATACTGGAATTGCCAAGGCTACTATAGTGAGCAACTCCTGAAAAAATTAATTTCAAGTATGTTTTCTAATGTGAAAGTGGGTGTGGAAATGAGATACTTCATTACATCTTACACCATTTCCAATTCCCAGGTGCTTTGCCATCACCAGTGAAAGGGATTATATCTGTTAACAGCTGTTCTTGCTTTGCTTGGTGTTTGGTGTGTTCCTTTTCTGTGTAGCTATAAGTTGTCCTAGTTTTACCATTAACGTAAGTTACGGTTTGGTGATTGTCTGATACCAAACTGAAGAGTGAAACTAGTAAGGAAGTATGTAGTAAACCTCAGGTAGCAACTTAATCCTTTTTTAAAAGCAACATCAGTGTTCATTAAACACAGACAAAGCCCTGAATGTATTCTCTTAGTTGGATGATGACAGTTCAACAGGCCCATTAAAGACTGTATTGGAAGAAGTAAGAGAACTCTGCCTGCCAGAAGTCTAGGTTTTAACCTTTTCACAGGGCTCAAACCTTGCTAGCCTAAAATCCCCGATTTCCCGTGGAGTAGTGAGCCCTAGCTACATCAGTTATCTTGTGCCCTGTTTCTAGGTGCAGTATACCTGCAACTCCTTAAAATTGTGCCAGCCTTGTTCGCTCTGTTTTGTCGAACCAAAAAAGCACTTCTAGTGGAGTTTGGTCATTGTGATAAATAACCTCACAGCAAGAATGTTCTGTAAGAGAGGAGTCTGCAAAAGGAGTGGTTATAATTGTTACTGAGGAGCTTGCTGACAAGCTTCCTTCCAGATTAAATCTGCTGCTGTGAGGATCTTTATTATTGCATTGGTTGAGATTGAGACACATGAGCTACTGTACTTGTATTTGTACTAATGCACAAATACTGTACTGTAGTTGGAGAAGCAGCCTTGAAAATTATTAGATATCTAGGACCTTAAGTACTTTCTATAAGTAAGAATTATATTCTGAAAATACTTCTCATTTTTCCCTGTCTGCAGCACGTACCAAATTTTATGCTTAGCATTTCACATAAGAACTTTTCTGACCAGGAGGATTTTGGTTGAAGATTGTTTCTGGTATTTTTGCTAGGGAAAAAATTATATTCTTTTAAAGCTTAATACTTACTTGTTAATAGATAAATAAATGAAAGCATGCAATAGGAATTTTAAGATAACATTAGAATCTAGTAAAGTTCTGTATGGATTTCTAAGAGTTTTTCATGTCCAAGTTTCTTCTCTCCTTATGAGACAGGAGAGACGTGTATTTTTTCAGGATCTTATCCACGGACAAAATCATTATTTTCTAGCAGCTCACTGCACAGGGGAGATGGTGGCTATGTGAATTCTAAAAGAAATGAGTTTCATGAGTAGCACGAGTAGCACAATGACTATTTTTGTTATTCAATGTAAAGCCAAGTAAGCTTTGGACAAATGCCAGCTTTCTAGGAGGAATAAAGAGATAATCATCACAAACTTTGCCAAATAAAACACCTGTTCATGTAACCTGGATGTGGTTTTGGACTTCCATGCTCAGATATGAGTTGGATCTGTTCTCTGGAATCTCATTTTTAAGCAGATAATATAGAAGTAAATGTGCAGTAGTTTGAATACTGGGATGTATAAATGGATTTGCTCATGCTGGATTTGATTTAAATATATTTAATGGTTTAAAAACCTCTTTGCATAGAAATTGACTTTTTATTAAGTTCTTTCTCTTCTATTTAAGGCTAACTACATTTCTAAATTTTCAAAAGCTCCAGTAATGTGCAAATTAGTTGGAAGAAAAGTTCTTGATGGACTTGGTCAGCCAACGTTAGAAGTGGAAATATACTGTACAGTTAAAAATTATGAGAAGGTATGAGCTGCTTCTTCCTATTTCATTTATTTTAGTAAGACAATATCAGGGAGAGTTACTATTCTACTCAATTCATAAGGAACATTTTTTTTCCATCTTTAGTGCAAGGATATGAATCCCCATGACTCAACAGCTGAGTAAATAGTGTTGTAAATTAGAAAAAAAAAACTGTCATGAAAAGTTAGATAGTGGCAGTAACTACAAAAACTTTATTTTCCATGAATTAAACAATACTTACCTTTATGTTGAGTGGGATGTGAAAGTGCTTCTTTGAATATTGTTTTTTTGTCTGTCTTAATGATCATGTTGCTTTTCTTTACAACCCATATCTAGCCCTGTATGTTCATTTTTCTTTTACATTTTTCTTTTTTTTTCATTTTCAAATCCTTATATTTCTATTTGTATGAGTGTTTCAGAAAAATATAGGGTAGGTGAAAAATATAGTATAGGAGAAGACACATTTTTACACTGAGTTAATAGGCTGATGTGGGTGACAGTTAAGTCAAACATATCCATCAAACATATCCATCTAGCACCTGCCATGCCAAACTGGTGGTGCATTGCCATCTCTTCCCAACCTGAAATACTCAACATACTCTCCTTGCAACTCTAGCTATTGTGGAGTAATTATTTCTGTTTTCCCTCAATTAAAGTATGGTTCACTTCATTCTTCAATTAAATGTAATTTCACAGATATTTGCAGTATGTGAAGTTAATATTATTAATGCAGTCAACACTCTGATATTTGTAAATTATGTCTTCGTTAAGTGAATTTTCTTAAGAATCATTTATTCTTTAGTGGTACAAAAAGTTATGTTTAAATTACCTAAGTAAGATAAAATGTAACCAGTCACAAGGAATGGCTTTAGGCATGAATGCTGGTGAATCATGGTACAACAAGCTGCCAACAACTGCAATAAAAGATGTCATAATGACTGCATGGTCTTTAAAATAACTCCATTCTATTCTTATAACCAAATATATGTATAAAAAAGTTAGGTCAGGAGGTTTTTGCCTAAGTAGTTATAATTTGGGATGAGAAACTTGAATAATGTCTGTGATTACCAAAGTGTAAGAGCCTAGGAAGAAGATGCTGGATGAAAAAGGACAAGTGGACCAAACAATAGTTTTGGAAATAGGTACTTGTAGAGTTGCGATGCACATATACTTTTTAGTCTTTCAAATGACATTTCCAAGTTAGAAATTAGTGGTTTAAGCCGTTTTACAATTTTTTGCAGAGGATTTGTTCTGCTGTAATGTCTTCTCATTCTCAAATACCTGAAGATGCTTTACCTGAAACAAGTAAAGCTGATGAGAAAGAAAGAAGTGACTCTGTTAATACTGCAGTGGAATGGGTGAATGAATCACTGAACACTATGTTACGAGACTTGAAACCTACTGACCAGTGCAAAATTGATAAGCTGCTTGGGTAGGTCTTGCATATTATGCAAATTATTGCATTTGAAATATACACCATTAATTTATATTGTAAATGGAAAACATATAGAATATTCAGTGTTTACTATCATTTTTGTGATGTGTTATCTCAGATACATTGCACTATTTATTTCCTGTTTTTTCATAATTATGATATGAAAATCATGCTTTTTTATATATATTTTTTTTGTATCATACCTGGGATACAAAAATAAGGGTGTCTAAGAAAAAAAAAGCTTGAACATATTCATAAGTCAAAGTCTCCATTTAAGAAACTCATTCAATGCCAGTTTAATTCAGTGGGGATGTTTTTTCAAGCTGTGACCACTTCTTCTGTTCATTGCACTGCAGAACAAAAGGCCTATGTGTGTGTCTTCTGCATTGAGCTAGTCCACATATACATAGAGTTTTCAGATCTGGTGAAGTCTTCTATCTGAGCAAGCTGCTCCAAAAGTCTTCTTACTGTGGGTGATTAGTTTCTTTGGAAACATAGTTTCTTTATTAAACATCCATGTTTATTTTCTTCATACAAATACTACTTCTTGGAAGCATCCTAAAGTAAAACATAATGGCCGCATTTTTCCATTCAAAGAAGTATGTCTGGTTTTAATAAGACAAAAGACGTAAAGTAAAAGCATCACAGATATATCTGAATGTATTTTTGTGGTAATATTAGGGGAGCTACCTGGCAACATTATGGCTTTCTTTGCCCTGGAAGCAGTACTATGGTCTGTCATCCTCTTCTGTGGTTGGAAGTGTTTCTTCCAGCTGCAATGAGAGGAATGAAACATTGCTGTAGGGGTAAAGGTTGTACTGCTACACCTTGCCCAGACTGTAGCAAACAGACGTAATTGCCTTCCACATGGATTAGCTTCGTGGAAACATTGCTGAAAAGAATATGGACTCAATTGGAAAGAAATTCTTCCAGCTGAAGTGAGTCTAAATAAGATTTTAATGCATTACTTACACTACTTTAAATGTCTTACATACTCAATTTGCCTGAATTGGGTGTCTGTGACCCATGTATGCAGTTTCCACTTTGTGCATGTAATTGAAATTCAGCCACTTCTGAGCTTGCAGCCACTTAGATAACCGGTGCACAACTGACCTGGTGGATTAGCAACCTAGGCCAAGCTGTTGTATGTCATGAAGTTATGACAAGATCTGTTACTACCCAAGCAGCTAAGATACATCCTTCACACTAAGTTGCACAGAGCTGACTTTCAAACCAGTGTGATTGGAAAAGTGTGTTTTAAGGTTTGTAATGCTTGCTTGTGGTTCTTCTTGTTTAACCGATACTGCAGATAGCTACAGAAAATAATGACATATATTGACTTCTCCGGCTTCACACAATGAGTCTGTGACAGAAGCTTAAATAAATGCCCATAAACCACCTCTTAGCATGTTCTTTAGCCTGTATCCTTTGTCTGCTTGTCACACGTCTAACAGTATTTTGAGCCAGTAATCTTTATGCCTCTGTCCTCAGCGAATACTTTACCAAAAAAGTAGAAGAAAGAAAAGAAATACAAAAGGAAGAGGGAGAAGCAGCAGAAGCTACTGTTGCCCTTATGCCATGCGATCCATCAGCAACAACACTACCTGGGAAAAAAAAAGCAGCAAAACCAGGTTTTATTTTATGTTATTTTAATATTTTATGCAATACAGATATTGATAGAGGTGCTAAAATACCTGCACATGACACAGTGTCTCATGTTCAAAGGGTTTGTTTACTCTGTCCTAAATCTTCCTAGTTTCTACTGCAGAAATGAGAGGGGAAAATACAGAGTTTTTCTCATCATTCAGATGCATTGGTTGAAGAGAGTTTCTGCCTTTGTTTTACATTTGGCTTAGACAGGAGGTTATTACTCTTCAGAGCGAGGACTAAAAATGGAGGAGGATGCAAATGAAGACTAAAAATGAAAATGATAAGGAAAAGGAATCACAGAACTGAATAGGAAAATGGAAATAGAATTAAGATAGAAATTGGAAAGAAGGGAGGAAGGGAAGTTTCTAACTGAGAAAAGGAGCAAATAAGGCAAAGCAAAAGAGAAAGAAGGAAGGGACTGAGATGGGAAGGAAGGGAATGAGATGGGAATGATGGGCAGTACAGAGTAAAAAGAAGTAAGCAAACAGTGCTACTAAAGGAAAATGTGAGAGTAGAGAAACAGTTTTTAAAAAAACTACAAAAAATATAAACACCAAAGTTAAAAAAGCCCCATATGTTACCTCCATATGTACATTACCCTCAGGAAAAGAAAAAAAAGTTTGTTTTCATATATTGGAAGGGCAGAAAATTTTGTCAAATTGTTATTTCTCATCAGTTTTTCAGTTTCAGCTGTCATAATCATCAGTAAAACCTCCCAGTTAATATGTTAGATGTGTACACTGTAAATTCACCTTTTACCTGAAATGTAACATCTGCAGTTATCAGGTCCATCCAGATATCATCACATTTTATATTATACTTTTACTCAAACTTCTGCTGATACATATATTGCTTGTTCTTACTAATTGCATTTTCTTTCTATTTAGTTGTGACATTGACTGTAATATTATTGTTAAAAGCAGTACCTGACTGTTAGGAGCCAATGATTATAAAGCTACTTGTTGTTACAGGGGACCACTAACAGATGGTAACTCCCAGTATCAGGTGCTTTCAGAGGGAGCATCTATGTTGTGATTTATGCAGGTTACAAAGTGGTGTAGCGGAAAGTGTCTCTGCAAAACATCACAGTTTGTCAGAGTTACTCAGTACTTGATTATGACTGTCCATGTGTGTAGCTCTTCATCCTCAATATGATAGGTATAGAATCTGTGTGTAGTATGCAAATGATATATAACCTAATCTACAGTTCCAATTAAGGTCCTATTAATATTTTATCATAAAATATCGGTTGTATTCTGTAGTATTTATATTTTATTGAAATCAAAACTTGTATGGTCCTTCTATCAGAAAAATTGGAGTTTGGGACCAAAGTAGTTGGACAGATTTACAAAAAAGTACCCAACGCATATGATTCTTGAAAATCATAACACTCATTTTGGTTTCACGTAGGTGCTTGCTGTATGTTTTGATATAAGCACTGTATGCAATAAATATGAGAGTGGGAACCGCTAGTTTTCAAGCATTTTGGCAAAAGTTACTCCATTGTATCTGAAAGGGAAATAAGTTTTTCGAAAAATTAACAAGACTATGCATGTGGAATATTTAAAAGACCTGTTTTTCCATAGGAAAATCTAACTGTAATAGGCCTAATTTTATTAGAAGAAATCAAGTATGAGCACTTCCAATCAGCTTATGATGTAATCTTCCACGTTCTTTATGGAAAAGCTGATCATATAAGGAGGACAATAAAGAATATTGAAATCAAGATTAAAAAAAGGAACCTGAATAATGATACGGCATTACTGGGTATAAACACAGGTAAATAAAAATACAGATTTCAGTGGCTGAAAGAGCTCTAAAAGAAATGGCTTTGAAATACATTTGACACCAGAGAAAGGACAGATACTTTGCTTACTTGCAAGGTCATTTCATACAGAAGAAATGACAAGACTGAGCTTCAAAAAAAGAACTGGTTCTTTTGTAATATATTGAGTGCATATCGAAATGACAATATCATATTTACTCATATAACTGTGATACATAAGTACAGGTTTTAAACGAAGAAAATATTTAGCTACTTTTCTCTGTCTTCTAGGGAAGAAGACATCAGTTGCAGAGAAAGTGCTCCCACCTGCAGAACCCGTTGAACCAGTGCTGTGTGGCAGCGTAGCCATTGGGGGAACATCACTTGCTGTAGCTAAAGCTGGTGCCACCATTAATTGCATCCCGTTGTACTTACATATTGCACTGCTGAAACACAATCAGGTACATGTGACTTTTATAATTTTGTTTACTTTATTCCAGTTAATCTCAATTATTCAAGAATTCTGAAGCCTGTAGTCCCCTGTGACAGTGGTATTAAATATACCTCATGGAATACATCCTTAAGGCCACTGCCTGTAGCAGTCTTTGAACCGTGTGCCATAATTAAAATAGAAAAGAAATTATTCTGATTTTTAACATTTCTGTTTTCACATGGCACTCCCAATTACAGGATTCACCTAAAGAAATGACTCTACCTCTCCCAATGGTTACTCTGTTGAACTGTGAAAAAAATTCACCTGCAAAACTGAAATTAGTGAAAGAAGTTATGCTTATACCACCAGTTCAGTTATCACTCACACAGGTACTGTTTAATTTTTGTTTTCATTCATTCAATTCATTCAATTCATTCATAAATATATTCTATAGGCTTCATATAAACCATATATGTACATAAGCATATAGATCTTTTCAACATAGTCCTTAAAAACTGCATTTTTCATTTTTATTTTAATTACAAGGCTAAAGTTTTAACAAGGGGTTAGTGCAGCTTTCTAACACAAGAAACATAAAAAGAAGTGAATAAAGAAGATGAAGATTTAAAGATGAAGTAGAGAACTTAAAAGAAGCCTTTTAGACATTTCAAGTTAAACGTGTTAAATAGAGGAAAAAATCAGTGCATTGAAGAAGATGTAGGGAATTGTGTTACACAACAATAAGATATTTTGATTTTTTTTAGCATTTGACTTTACATTAGTAGATTATAAATAGTATTGATTGATTATTAGAGCATACAAAACTCATAACAAATTCACAGGAAAGCATAAAATCTTTAGGAATAAATTGCCTTAGAAATGAAATTGTGAAGACAGAAGGAAATACAAAGCAGAACAAAATCTATTCAAGGGGCAAAAAGGATGGATGAGGCAGACTGGATCAACCCTCTCTTTTTGTTTAGCCATGTGTTGCATTAAAGAATGTATCTGCACAAGATGCCTACATTAGGGCTGTGATTTCTACTCTGTATGCTGGTGACCTGAAAAAATAGTTAAGCTTGATTCTCTTTCTTTTTATTTTTCCTTTAACTTTTTAGAATTGTCACCAAGAGCTCTTAATAAGGTTGCTAATTCTGTACCTTTCAAAGTTATAATGCCAGTGCTCATGGGAGAGTAGTAGTTGTTTGCTGCAGTGTAAAAAACGTAGCTGTGTTGATGTGTTGTCAGCTGTGACTGACTTCTGCCCCCTTCAGTATTCCTTTACTGGCACAATTTAAGAAAATCTGAAATGTGATTTATGAAGTTAGCATTGAACCTTTACTAACTCAGCTGAAAAGGAAAGAGAGTCTTGTGTTAAAAGCAATGGATTCACTTAGTTGAAGTGTCCTTCCATTCTCCTGTGTTTAAATGAAGACAGTGATTTTTTTTTCCCTCCTTCCTGGAAATGTTGTAAGATTAAATACATTCAATTTTGGTAGTTTCCAGTTAGGAAGTCTTAGATATAGTCACAGTTGTGAACAGTGACTGTCATCTTCTCACTCGTCAGATATTACACAGATCCAAACATTGCTTACTTGTTAGACTTGAGAAGGATTCCTTCTGGGGAAGAAGATACTACTTTTCTTGCTATCCCATTCAGAAACATCATGAAATATTCCTGTTCATTCCACTGCTACTAACCCTTTATCATTGGGCACTTGACTGCGTTTTGTCAGTGGGGGGGTTTGTTTTGAGGAAGTCTGTAATATTTTTTTTTTAAAAGACATTATATTAAGATCTGCATTTAGAGCAAGTGTTCTCTCTCTTTTGATTTAAGCTGCTAAAATGAAATAATTTCTCTTTCTTTTGAAGATTACTGTTGTTTAATTTCAGGGCATGGAAAGAGTTCTGGATATTCAGAAAGAAATGATGAGACTGTTGGATCCCCCAGGCAAAGTGGTATAATAGAAATATGGAGTAATAATGTGATGTACTCTCTTGGGCTTTCTACTACTACTGTCTTTTTAAGCTTAACCATGGAATATTTAGCTTGTTACCAGGTTTCCTTTTATGGCATGGAATAGAACATGTGTTTCTCTGACAGGTTAATAAAACATTGGTCATTTGGTGATATTGAATTAATGAGCATAGAATAAAACGTTGTTCTAAGCATAGTGAGACTTCCTGTTTACCTGAAGAAGTACACAGGCCGTGAATGGTATCACAGTGAATGTACAATATATGGTTCTAATCTTGCTGAGTCTTGCACACAAGCAACATATATTATTCACGATACTGTTACTGTTGTATATCAATCTCAGTATGTGCATATGCCTTTTTGCAAAGCGAGGCTGATGAGTTTCTCCAAGTACAGAGTCTAGATTCTCATTGCCAAGATCCGCTGTGCTCTTGACTAGCTATGTGGGAATCTTTTGCAAAAGGTGGCTGTGATGCCCACATAGAAATAAACATTTGAAATTAGTTACCACCACAAAATAAAACTAGATAGTTGCTGATAGTATTCAGGACAAAACAGAAGCTATTTCCTAACTGATATATTTGCTATCTCTTCAGACCAAAATTCAGTCAACTTTCTTTTTTTTTAATTTTGTGGTCTTTCTGGTGTCTTTGGACTTCTCCATGAGATTGCTTGATTTCTTCTTTCACTCCCAACAGCCCAGTGCTCAAGTAGCAGACAGTAAGAAAGGGAAGAAATCACAAAATACAGGGAAGAAAGCTCCGGTAAGAAAAGAAATTTTCATTTTAAGCCTTCAGCAAAGTATTAACAGCAGCAGGGAACCAAAATGTTCTTAAGAAATGAAACATTAATCTACATTACCATTTTCAAAAGGTCAAGGCAAGACTTTTAAATACTCCAAATGCTCATATTTTACATAATAATTTGGATTCTTCTGGCTATACCTTCCTTTCCCATGAAACAATAACAGAAAGGGGAAATTCTTCTGGAATTTGGCCATTTTTCTCATAGAGAAATCCTGGTAAATTATCCAAATGTGCATTTTGCAGTCCTGTAGCACCAGTAGAGAACATGCCCTTTTGATCATGTAGGCTATAAAACTGTTACCTGTAAGACTTGCATATTGTGCTGTTTCCTAACTCTGGGAGCATAGCTCTCCTCTTAGTCATGCTGCATGAAGTTCCCAGTTCCTGTTTCAGGTTACAGATAACAGCAGATACAAACCAGTAGCTAAAAGGGCAGCTCTCAGAATAGTGCACAGGACATTATTTTATATGACTCAAGTGATTTTTTTTTAATCACTTCAAAACCTGTAGTTTATAGATGACTTTTCCAAGTAGTGGGATGGAAATGCCATGCCAGTTTTGCTCTCCGTTCTAAGACAATTAAAATATCAGGTGAGAACTGTTGCTGTTGTAGAGTATACAAAAGAGAGGATGAATGGAAGTTTTCTGATTTTTTTTTTGTTGCTTAAACATCACACAATTCTTCATCATTAATCAGCTGGCCAGTGTTTTTCTGGTAGGTAATTTCCATATTCTTCTCACAATATGTACTGCAGTTGCAAGTTAAAGCAGTTCCTTAAGATGTGCACAAGGAAGCAATGCATTAGATTCTCTGAAAAGAATCCATTTATTTCAACAGGAGGAAACGAAAGGAGGTAGTGGTGGGACTGAATTTTAAACTGACAGAAGCACCATGTGAGTTTAAACTTTTAGGGAGAAAAAGGAAAAATTACAAAGTAGCGGTGAGGAAGCAGAAGAAGAACTTGTTTAGGTTACAGAAGTACAAAGTAGACAGAAATAAATGTTTTTGTAAAGATAAACAATGCTTTTAATAGAATGCAACAAGGCGCACCGTATGGGTGCCTCGAAAATCACACGAAAATGCAGACGTAACCTCTGTATCACGTTAACTGCAGGAAGACTGGGGCTTTTCGTGCTGTCTATTGCTGCAGCTTAGTGCTCAAAAGCAACAAGACAAATAGATCATCTCTCCTTGCAGACTGTTACAAATTAATCTCATAACAATTTGACCTGCATTTTCTTTCTAATTTTTTCTGTGAAGGAACATTCACATATCTTCTGTAGCTGGGCCTCTGTTCTGTCCACTGTAGTTCTCTCTCTTCAAAACCAATGCCTTCCAGTTGACTTCTCCAGTCTAACTCAGGATTATGTCCTGCTTCTTTCTGGGCAACTTAGTGTCATTCTTCATAATCCAAAATTCGCAGACTTTCCAGTTAAAAATCAGTGTTTGAAAAACCTTCAAAAAAACCTAACAATAGAAGGACACATGAAATATTTGCTCAGTGCAACTCTGCTTGTAATTTGTGTCCAGGAACGCTGCAACTCCATGCAGCTGTGATAGTGGTATTTCCCCTCTGTGAAATTTGTTCCTTTTAGAAGTCTTGCAAGATCCTTGTGTTTCTTGAACACTCCATAAAGGCAGTATCAAAGTTGTGCTTGAGGAGAAATGAACAAAAGCTGTTTAAAAGTGGAGAATATGTTTTCGTGGCAAAGGGGTGGTCCACAGCACCAGAAACTTCTACATAGCTTCCCTGCCAATTCAGTCGTTGTTGAAAGTGCCTTTAAAATCTTTTTGTGAACCAGTACTGGCCATATAAGAGTGAGAGCTACATGGCTAGAGATATTCCAAGGACTTAGCTTTCTGCTCATTAGCACCTAGTTACCCCTTATTCATAAAGGATTGTCCTTAAAGTTGCTAATGTGATTTCTGAGAATGGATTTCTGTTTTGATTACTAAATGCAAACTGAAATGACAGTGAAAATATTTATATAGGCCTTATGTATATACATGTGTGCAAATAAAGTGATGAATTTTGTTTTACTTTCAGCCACAAGCCTTGAAAAGAATATCACACTTAGGTTGCCTCACAATGGAATATGATAATCTAGAACAACCGCTACTCCTGATGCAAAGAGTTTGCAACAATATAGGTCTGGAGCTAGGAACAGACATGTACTTAGCCATAAACTGTGCTGCTCATGAATTAATGGATTATGTAAGTTAATTTCAATATCTATTTTGTTGGTTTTTAAAAGGAATGTAGCTATTTGTTAACATTATTTATGATGACATTGCAACCTCATCTAGATGCTCCTAACTCCATTTTTAAGGCAGCAATCAAGCAAACCAGAAGGATTGTCTCTGCATTTATAAATTATAGTAAATTATACACGGTCCTACAAGTGCAGCAGATATTGTATTGGATTGTGAGTGCAAAGGGAGGAGACATGCAGACATCCTCCTGGTAGCTTGATGCAGGGGGAGCAGTGAGAATGCATTTATCCTGCCACGGCAGCTGTACCAGCGTACTGGTGGTGCACCTTGCATGAAATAAAGCTCACTGGACCAAGGCAGAGCCCCGTTGCAGCTTGTGTCCTACCTGCAGGAATCCCTGTAACTTTGATGATTTAACTTCAATTATTCCAATGCATCAGCCAGGTTTATTAATTTTCTTGATTTATTTATAAGATTTTTCAGATCAGTCTGTGTTAAATATAGCAAAAATGTTTTAATGGCCAAACACCTAGTATGTGCTTTATTTAACAAACCACCTTCATTTCACATTACATCTCAGATGATTTTTAATTAAAGTATTAAGCAGCAAATCCTGGTGGTTTTTTTTTTCATTTCACCACAAGGTATAAATGAAATTATTATCTTCTACCCACCTTGCTTTCAAGAATGAAGAATAAGAAATTATTTACACAAATATACTTCTGTAATTCCTTCATACCACTATATGCATGCAGCACTACAGGCTTGGAGAAGAGTATCTGGAAAGCTGCCCAGCACAGAAATACCTGGGGGTGTTGGTTGACAGCCAGCTGGATATGAGCCAGCAGTGTGCCCAGGTAGCCAAGAAGGCCAATGGCATCTTGGCCTGTATCAGAAATAGTGTGGATTAGGGAAGCGATCATCTGCCTGTACTCAGCACTGGTGAGGCCGCACCTTGAGTACTGTGTTCAGTTTTGGGCCCCTCACTACAAGAAGAACACTGAGGTGCTGCAGTGTGTCCAGAGAAAGGCAGGTGAGGCATCTGGAGCACAAGAATTATGGGGAGTGACTGAGGGAACTGGGGTTGTTTAGCCTGGAGAAAAGGAGGCTGCAGGGAGACTTTATTGTTCTCTACATCCACCTGAAAGGAGGTTGTAGTGAGGTGGGTGCTGGTCTCTTTTCGCAGGTAATCACAGAATCACAGAACATTAGGAGTTGGAAGGGACCTCGAAAGACCATCCAGTCCAACCCCCCTGCCACAGCCGGATCACCTAGACCAGGTTGCACAGGAACACGTCCAGGCGGGTTTTTAATGTCTCCAGAGATGGAGACTCCACAACCTCTCTGGGCAGCCTGGTCCAGTGCTCCGTAACCCTTACAGTAAAAAAGCTTTTCCTCATGTTCAGGTTGAACCTCCTATGCTCCAGCTTGCTCCCATTGCCCCTTGTCCTGTCATTGGCTGTCACTGAGAAGAGCCTGGCTCCTTCCTCCTGACACTCACCCTTTCCAAATTGATAACCATGAATGAGGTCACCCCTCAGTCTCCTCTTCTCCAAGCTAAAGAGACCCAGCTCCCTCAGCCACTCCTCGTAAGGGAGATGCTCCACTCCCTCCATCATCTTTGTGGCTCTGCTGGACTCTTTCAAACAATTCCCTGTCCTTCTTGAACTGAGGGGCCCAGAACTGGACACAATATTCCAAATAGGTAATAACTAACAGGACAAGAGGAAATGGCCTCAGATTTCTCCAGGGCAGGTTTAGATTGCATATTAGGAAAAAAATTCACCAAAATGGTTGTCAAGCGTTGGAACAAGCTGCCCAGGGAAGTGGTGGAGTCACCATCCCTGGAGGCATTTAAAAAACGTGTGGGGACACGTGCAGCACGTGGGGACATGGTTTAGTGGTGGACTTGGCAGCGCTAGGTTAACGGTGGGACTCTATGATCTTAAAGGTCCTGTCCAACCTAAATGATTCTATGATTCTATGCTTATTTCTCTATGTTATTATACTACATCTGTTGTTTACCTCAAACTACTTTGACAATCTGTGTATTTTTACTATGGTATGTGCATATATACCCTCTAACATTTATCTCATTATGTATCAACATTCAGTTTTTAATTCTTATTTTTCAAGGTATTTATTTGACAAAGTTTATTTATCTCCAACTGGTTTTAAAGTTCTTGCCCCTTGTTCTATGACCAATGAGGTTTCTCTCTAAGCAGAAAAAGAAACTTCCTAGTCCATTTAACATCTCATGAGATCTTGTGTATTTGGGTGTCCTGTAGTGACAAAGCCGTCATTAATATCTTCTGTGAAAGCAGTTGCTTTCCTGACAGTTCGTGATATCTGCATCCTATACCTGAATGAGCAAATTCTTAACCAATGAATTATCAGTAATTCTGTAACTTTCTGTTATTGAACTGTTAAGTCACTAAAGCACTGGGTATTCTTGCACAGTTTGAGTGTGTGCCCTTAATAATCCTATGGGAAGCAGTTTGTGCTTCCCATAGTGATGACTAGTTTTAAACTAACTGTGGTTTGTTGTTTTTTAGTTAAAGGAGAAAGCGGCAAGGAAAGGCAGTATCTTGTTCTTGAGCACTGAGGGTGCACTCCTTTCCCCTAGCAATATTTGCTTTATGAGAACGAGGACAAAAAAAAAGCTTTTTTTTTTGGAGGTGAAAAGTGAGCTTCTTCATGCAAGATTTAATAAAAATGTCAAATATTGCTAACTCTCTGATAAAGTTCTGTAAAACTTGCCTAGGAAATGCTGAAATAGATCTCCCTTGTTCTGGGAGTGGCATCTTTCAGTGACTTTGGCATGAGCGCACTGGAACCCGCGGTTACTGTAGGCAGTCTTCTGTAACAATGTGCTGACCACTTCTTGTAAAGCAGACAAGTGAATGTGTCCCTATTGAAGAACTCACAGTCTGCTGCCTTAATAGAGATATGACTGACACAAGATCTGAATGCTTACGTTACTACTCTGGTTTATAAAATACTCCTTTCCTTACCTTTTATGATTTTACTTTACTTTCTAGGCTAAAGGAAAATACGAAATACTCAGGGGAAAGTTCAAAAGTCCTGATGAAATGGTTGACATGTATGTGGAACTGATTAATAAATTTCCTTTTCTTATTGCATTGATAGATCCATTAAGAAAAGAGGTAAGATACCACAGTGTGGTCTTTGAAAATTTGATAGTACTATTAAGTGGCATAGCACTGAACTTTTCACATTTTTACAAAACATATTAAACGTGAAGCTTCTGGTTCTGGAGTCTTTAAGCACAAAAATATCACTATAGAAATGTATGTAACAATTAATTTGCATATTTGTAATTGAAAATAACTCTAAATTCTTCTATACTTCTGACATAATTCCTGACAGAAAATAATCCTGGCATGAACAGAATATGGTCAGTACAAATATTTTAAAGAATTGCAAGAAAATGGTTTTTTTTCTGATTCTACTTGCTAAACCACTGTAATTGTTATTACATTTTCCTTCTTATGTAAAAATAATTCAAATTCTGAAATAAAACTATAAAATTCAAATTATATT